CCCGCCTGCAAACATCGCATCTACTGGTAAAACGCCCGTTATGGATGAGGTTTACGTTCAGCAGTGGACAATTAACGGTTGATATAATACTATTATATAATAATCGCTGTTAATTTTTTAACGAGATATGTAACGCAGCATCTTATGCAGTATTAATACTTATGTATCTCTAGAATAAGACAACAAAATAGAAATATTATTATTATTGAAACCTATAAAAGCCACTGGTGTAATTCGCTATTATCGTATTGTATTATCCTTTATGCTATATTGGCAAGAATTCTATTTGTACTCATGTGTTTATTAATGCTTCGAAAATTAATTCTCCACAGAGAAAGTTTACTCGTATACTTGTTTTAAATCATACGTTCAATGGAATCAATTCCTGTAAATTAGAGTGTAACACAGTTTTAATGTTAGTAATGCGAACTAATATTGCCTATATTACTATTATTTATAAGTTATAATTATGAAACTATTACCAATGCGTATGATTGATTCGACTGTCACGAGATTATTATACTGATACAGCTCGACAGATATAGCATTAAGTGTTTATGCGTGAGACCATCTTATATGTATTGAAGCTACAATTACTTTGACATTGAACAAGTAGGTACTTAATGTATGATGATTTCAGTTCTTTTATTGCGTCTGAGATATTTAGAATATTATTAGTTAGAACGTGGTTATAATCCTTATGTCTTGACACGCATGTCACTTCTGTAGCACTATGTTAGTGAAATTATAAGCACTATGATAATAAATAATGTTTTATAGCTAGCCTATCAATCGCAATGTCGATTATATTGAATTTAGGAAGTGACAATATATGAGATATTATAAAAAAGTAGATTCAGGTCAGATTAGGTTGCGTTAGTCATTATAAATTAAAATAAAACTCGTGTTCATTAAATTTCACAACTCGAAAGAGATTCATTTTCGATTACATTCATTATATAAGTATGCTTATATATATATATACTATTTACAAAATTATACATACATGTACATACTTATTTTTTCCTTATTAATTTTCTAAAGTTCGGTGTTAATGAAAAATTCTACCTAAAACAGTAATAATTCATCACAGCTAACAAATATTTCGTTAGGTACGTATTGATTAATCAAATAACTTTTTTTGTATCAGTACGTCTCGAAATTAGAGGTCTAACTTTAGAATAGAAATTATTTTTGATAAGTTCTACACGTGTTCCCTCTAAGCCATCGATTGAATCTGATGGAGTAGTTGCATGTGACAGTACCTATAAATATAGATCGCTGTATGAAGATAGATTTGGTATAAATACCAAATCAGTATCGATCTCAATCAAGTAGACTATTATTATTGTGATTAATTTTAAATTTATAATGAATAAAATAAAAAAAATTAAGAACTAGGTATGTAGTTCGAAAAAAGTAAACAATAACTCATTCATATAATTGATTGTTATTACCGTACACATAAATTCCATGAATTAATAAAAAATAAATAAACAAAATATTAATATATTATAACAACTCGATAATAACTACAAACTAGAAATAGCAACTTCAAGCTCATTAACACTGCAAACCTATTATTATATTGCGTAACTTAATTAACTTATAATTGATATTATCAATAAATACTAATTATATTAATATGATCTTTGGTAAAAAAGAGAAACTAAATATAAAATTTTACATTAGCATAAACAAATAATAATTTAGTCACGCGTCATATAGTCATGAATACTCTACCTACTAGTAGCCTGATGAGAAGTTTACGACATAGTATTAAATAATATTCCGTAATGAGTATGTACTTACATACCTCGTTATCTTTGCATTTACAATCATAACATATAGTACTTCCACAGTACTTGAGAAATGAGATAAACTCGTCAGTAGGTTGATATTACAAGTCTGTCGATAGACAAATACCTATTTTGTGATATTTGGCACTGTCATTATTTCAAGATACCTCAAAGTCGACCAGAGATATTATTGGAGGTATGCCACTTAGCAAAAACAGTCTAGATTATGACTACAGATGTTCAAAACATCGTAGTGGTTGTGTAAGGGTACAGAATAGTGTTCATATATGTAAAGCATTCGTGGGCATAACATTTAGGTACTTAATATATACAGAAACCTGAATGATACTAAAAACTTTCGCGTTTATGAATTTTTTGCTTTGAGATATTAGTTCACATTGCTAGTACAGCACCCGTAAGATCGCCACGTGATTTGGTTGAATGAATCAATTATTATAAGTTATATCCTTGTAATTTTATCACGGTCAACGGATCTGCTTATCGTCATTGTAATTTAAGTAATAACTCAGGCAAGATTATCATTTAATTTTCACCAATTAAAAAATTGGAAATAATAAATATTATTATTAGTGATAACAATGTGGTAATACAATACCACAGAACAAAAAAATTGTGAATTCCAAAAACGTGACTTATAGTCAATAGTAAGTGTATGTTTTTTACATGCAGAAATTAATTTTTAATGCTACTCAATAAGCATGTATGACTTATTATTATTATTATTATTATTATACCTATAAAATGGATATTGTATTGAAATTTAGAAAAAAAAAACACGAGTATACAAATGTCCCTATGAATTCTGTTCACCTCATCAGGCTACAATAATCAATGAAATTAATTCATATATAATAATAAATAATTAAAGCAACATATTAATGCAAAACTCACAATACTTTCATTTATAATGCTTAAATTTTTACTTAAACAAATCATATAGCTTTTTTATTTAGAAACAAATACAATATCCAAATACTAAACAACAAAAATTACCGTAACTATACAAAAAAATTAAGTGTACCTACTAGAATTACTAAAATTGCTTTCAATTTTTGTTAGTTACAAAATAATACATGAAAAATAAATTCTAATACAGAAAATTACAATCTTCTATTATCACATATATATAAACCTAATATAACTGTGTAGTTATGGCGAAATAAAAAATACTAATACTTCATATTTAATTGAAGTTATGCTGTGTGAATTTAATTCATAATTATATATCATAGTATAATAAAACAAGAATAAGTATTGTTACGATAGTCATAATAGACTGCGGGCACCTACACTAGGTGCGTACTTGGGCATATAAATGTTGCCAAGATAGCTATTACCTATTGGATAGATATTAATGGCAACAATCATTTTGCTATTTAAATATGTATATATTTTTTTATAAATATAAACTTTCTTGGACTTTAGGTTACCTCACTGTCTACGCACATCTTATAATGTTCCCTGTTGGATAGTACTTTTTTTTATTTTTGTGGGAAAATTCTTAGCCTAATTTGGTTAGACAGAGAGACCATTCTCCGTCAGCCTATTGCACATTCTATTTACAGTTAAGTAAAGCTGAGTTGAGACCAAAAGTAAATTGCGTACTAATGTTGGCAATTTTCTGTTGGTACAGATATAGGTGACAAATATTTCTATAATGCATTATTTTTACTGCCAACTTAATAAAAATTGCGAATATATATTTAGAGACAACAAAGGAATAGATATGATATTTAAATGTTCTACCCAAATTCTTGCTCAGTCAGCAATATTAGTTGATCTGGATGAAGAAATTTAACTTTAATTTGGTTGAATTTTTATTGAGTCTTAATTGTATATACCCAATATTAAATAAAACCGTGTGCAACCAGCATTGTAAAGGGTTACATTGTTACAATGCTGGGTGCACACGGTTTAATCTTATTGAGATACTTTTGTTTTGATAGGCCGTGATTATACAATTTGCCAATAGCAATATGCTTACAGTTTATAATAATGTGTAGTATATCTATCTATACTTATAATAAATCTGTAGAGAGGTTAATTCTGTACATGAAATATATTTCCAAAATAACTATCAGGGGTGATTAGTGATCGATACTGATGCCAAAAATGCAATCAGTAAAATTTTTATTTGTCTGTATGTTCGTTATAGAAACAAAAACTACTCGACGGATTTTAACGAAACTTGGTACAATTATTCTTCATACTCCTGGGCAGGTTATAGTATCTATACTTTTCATCACGCTACGATCAATAAGAGCAGAGCAGTGAAGGGAAATGTTGGGAAAACGGGAGAAGTTACTCCATTTTTAAGCTTCCGTCGCGTGTGCAGCCTTAATGGCCACTTTTTAAAATGTAAAAATGTCCACTCGTGCGACTCCACCACGGGCCGCTAGTACTACATAAATGTCTATATATTAGATGGTATAAAGTTTATATGACGCCTGAGTGAAGAAAGCATTTTGTTTTGATATTAAATACAGTTTTTAAAACTTTTTCAATAGAAAATATTGTTACATTAAACAGTAAAAGAGAATTTAATGTCTAACCTATTTATAAAATGCGCCTATATCTCTCCTAGAAGCTCTGCGTAGTAGTGCGTAGCACTCAAATAGTCGAGAAGACGTCTCGGCAGAGGTAGGTTGCTGATGAGGTCGCGACGAACGTGCTTTAATATCACAAATCTGAAAAGAAAATCTTAAGATTACTAACTCAGTAATGGACGCATTTTTAAATAGCATGTGTAGATTACGAGAACAGGTGTTTTTTACACATAGTGTATTAAGTAAATCATTCTAGTATGAGTTTTCTTGTCTATCCCATTTATATATAGCAATGTTTTAAAGAGACATAACCAAGATTATTTAATAAATTATTATATGGCGAGTAAATAAAAAATATATAATTATAATAATGATATTATAATTATTTGATAAATTTATTTATATTTACAAATCCTAATTTAGACCTTATCTCATGACCTAAGATTTCTAACTTACATATATCTGATACTATTATAATGTCGACTTAATATAAACTACTGGAAAGTAATTAAATTTACGTTACATATGGCGATTTTCACGGTAATGAAACAGTTGATTAATTAGCACAGAAAAGACCAAGAATGCCCAAATATGACCAGAACCTTATTGTGACATGTCTCGAAATGTAAAGCTCAGGCTGCCAGAATAAAAACCACTCGAAAGCCCCGTTTAAGAAGGGTAAAGGGGGGGGGGGGAGTAAAAATCTTTCACAAAAATCAACTCGTTCATGTAAAAACATTATTTGTCTTAATAAGTAAACAACTTTTCTCTCTAATTCAGTTTTGAGGCTCATCAACATAAGAGTCTAACAAATTTAATTTTAAAAAGCCGACGAATCTCTTATGGTGAAGCTATGCAAGCAGTTCATCATCATCACCTTTGTTCTCTATAGTTGCTTCATTGGTATTACAGAACATTATCATCTATGTATGTTTTTATGATATATATTTGTATATGTAAGTAATATTTGTTTAATGTATTCATGTAAGTACATTTATATGATTATGATGTGCAGTAGTACTCTATTGCATGTGTTATATAATTTGTAAATCAATATGGATATGAGTGTAATTGTTTATCTACAACAATTTTTAAAATTTTCACCGCATAATTATATTTCTGTTTTGTCAAAGGTTGACTGGGACAGAATGCTATATATTATTAATTTTATTAATTAGTACCACCATTGTCGACTGACAATGGTGGTACTATTGTCAACTTATTAATTATCTCATTCATTTTTTCGGCAGTACCCTTTTAAATTAAAAAAAATGTATAAACTACGTAAATAAATAAATTAAAAAAAAACTTGTAGACCACATTTGACAGGGAAATCGATGGGCAAACATAAAAACAAAAACTTTTATCTTTTTTTTTTAAATCAGTTAATTAGATGAGTAGTAAAATTAGTTAAATAGACCTTCGCCGAGCTTTGCATTCATTTCACTATTGTCATTAAAAGCTATCGCACTTTAAAAATTCTCTTATAATAATAAATTATAACATGCCACAATATTCATATGTCTGGTCTGATATAGATTTGGTCGATTTTTTATTTTATATTTATTTATTTACCTGCACATATGCTGTAGACTTTGGACGCGTTTAAATCTAGACACTGGGTATAGAAGCTGTACTCGTACAGGTCCTAGCACAGGCCTCAAATTCAGAAAGAATAAATATCGCCCACTTCGAGATGTCTCCACAGCATTCTCTATGAATTCCACAATTGTTTGAGCTTTGAACATAGTACACCCACCGAAGCAAAAATTACCTGAAGTAGAGGATAAGAATATTTTTAGGAATATGAATATATAAAATGTGTTTTTGTATTTATTATTGATAATATACCTATAAAATGGTAAACTCTTTATTCATATAAATGTTCTCTATTAGACTGATTTTAGGTATTTACTGATTTTAGAAAGTTTTTATCTTTTACTTATACACTTATTTCACAGTTTAAAAGATATATCAATTGTTAAAATAGTTCAAAGGATTTTTTTTTTAAATTTTAATATATACAAAATGAAGTTGCTTAATAAATAAATAACATATTATAATAATTTAATATTTACCCTGATCATGTTCTATTCTAACGTGTCTAAGCCCATTCAATTTAAATGTTAGTGTGAATATATAATGGTCGTCACTACTATCTCGTACAATAAAAGACCCATCTGGCTCATTAGATAGTATTTTCTCAGCTGTCTCCACGGAGATGGGGCCCCAATACCAGCCATACTAAAAAAAAAAAATATACATTATATTTGACAGATAAAATAAAGACTTATGTATTCAGAATTATTGAAATCGATTTGGTCTTTCCTCTACATCTACATTTAAGAAATATGGGTTATAATATTTATTTTAAACTTACATAAGATGTCATCAGATACTCATCTTAAATTTATACATTTAATGACTGTATATAATGTGTCCTAATGTGCGTAGAAAAAGTCTTCGAGAGCGCACAGAGATTTGTTTGCACACAAAACGCAGTAATATTAAAATACTTACATCCTTAACTTTCTGGATAGAAGTAGCAAAATCCATAACCGTCTCTTCTTCGTTAGCGGGTCGACGAGAGGTTTGTGGTGTCTGCGGCAGCGGTAGCGGGGGCAGTGCACGTCTTACGGCCGGTGGCGGAGAGTTTTCCTTACTTCCGTTCACTTTTTCAATATCAGTATTATTATCGATCACAGATTGACGTCGCCAACGAAACAAATTACAGAAACTTTGTTTCAGATTTATCGACAAAATTCTAACGGGAGACATTTTAACTTTTTGATTTTGATTTGATGACATTTTCTTTAAAGTCTTGTCGTTTTTATCTACTTCTATTATATCCTTTGGGATATTTTCTTTATGTTTCTTATTTTTAGCATTCATTCCAAAGGAATTTTTATTAGTTTTCTTATGATTATTGTTAGTTTCTACCGATTTGGGACCTTCATTACTTTCTTTTAAAAATACTGTAGCGCCCGCATCTTTTGTCGAATGTCTAGAATGTATACCAACATTTGTCATAATAGTATTGTTCTTCTTATTCATCGTATTTCTACATTCAGAATCACTTGAACTAGAATATAATGTGTGTAAATATTTTCTCATTTCACGCAAAGTCAAGTGAAGTGAATCAGTATCAGAATCAGTAGCACTTTTCTTGCAAGTAGAACTAGGCAAGCTATGTCTTTTAGTCTTAACGTCTTTATGTCTACTAGTTTCTTTGAGCTTATGATTCCTATCAAGTGGTAAATGGCTAGTTCCTATACTTTGTGGAGTGCTTTTACCACGCTTTTTATTACTTCTAGGAAACTTCTTTCCTTTACTTCTCGTGTTGACGTGACTAGGACGTACCATATCTATAGGCACCGCATAAATGTCGCTGTCGAAAGGGACATTATACATGTCTGTGATGTCGGACGTTTTTGCTGATAAAGTATCATGTGATATAGCTTGCGTTATAAAGCTCGAGTCATCTGCTTGGAACTGGGTGACAAGCGAGTTATGACTACTTGATAAACGAGACGAAAGAGAGTTTCTTGACGACGGCCTATTTGTGCGGCAAGGACTTAAATGTAAGAGTCTGGGACTCGCAAACCTGTGATTCAAACACTGGCGACGTTCGTACAACGATTCTGGTTTTAATTTCCTCGGATAAATAGGTGACACATGCCTAGTAGACATCGGAATATCTAAGCTTGATGATTTAGATTTAGTTGCCGATTCATTGGAATAAATAATAGTTGGAGGCACATACACAGCCGTAAAATTGTCAATGTTTACTGGAACAGGGTTGTCCTGGAAAAAAAAAATAACAAAACTTATATAATTTAGTATTATGACCGTATTTGCAAAGTTTTAATTGAATGACGGCACATTAATATTTGTAATATATTCCATAATATGAAAAATCATCACTAATTGTCATAAATGAGATCAGTCAGAAGAGCTACTACTACTAATCTACACCTACACTAATAGATGAAAGGAAAGCTGATTATATTTCTTTATATACAGTAATATAATAATTACACATTGATGGAGGAGACTAACTGGAAACAACATCACAGATAAATGTAAAACAAGAAATAATCAAAATAAAACCCTACACCAGACTGCTTCGCTAATGTGGCGATAAATTATTATGCTTTTCTTATGAAATACCTAATTATCTCACAGCTCTACCCTTGTAAATCAGTACATAAATATCCTAGGAGCTAAGTTAGGATATAAGCTACCTGTGTAGCAAATTTAATTGAAATCCATTAAGTAGTTTTTGCATGAAAGAGTAACAAACAATCATCCATACATCTATTCATTATTACAAAATTTCGCAATTATTAAATTAATAGGATTAATGCGTGCAGAACGATGACCTTTTATAAAAAAATGAACAAACCATTTTAGTCCATTTGGGGTATGTAATAATTGAAACTAGTATAGTAGACAACTTCGTCTATTATATAACATCATCATCATTTCAGCCATTATTCGTCCACTGCTGTGCATAGACCTCCTCCATCTTATTACCGTGGCCGCTACCGTGATCAGGGCAGGAAGAGCCGCCGGGGACTAAAAGCCGTTTCCTTACGGTGTTTACCATTGGGGGGTTTTGCCAGTAATTGCCTCGCTTGGCAAACAGTTTGGCAACCGCAGTTAGGTCTTTGGAGATAATTTAAGAGGGATGCTGCTGCCCATCCATCGACCATAAATTCCCCTAATCGCCTCTTACGACACCCACGGAAAAGGAAGGGGTGGGCCATTCAATGCCGGGACTGATACAGCATATTGATATTATAATATATTTATTATTATTTAAAAAAAAATATACTTCTCTTACTTGAAATTCTGGTGGCGGCTCAATAGTGGTCACTACAACTTTCCCAGGACCTTTTTTTACAGTATTGAAAAAGTCACCACACATGCGTTCAGAGGTTTCAGTAGACTCACACAATGACAACGACCTCTCATCAAAATCACTTTCTTGTAGCTGCGTAAACAATAAAATTACAATAAAAATAAAAATATCACTTCATAAACACACAAGGCTTGAAAAGAAAACGAAAATTTGGTACTTTTTGTAAAATAACAACAAACAGTCTTTAGGTTAGATTTTTTGGAATATAACTGTGAAAACTAAATCCAATTTGGTGCAATAGTTTTTGCGTGACGCCAAAACAAACATACAAACAGACAGACAAAAATTCTAAAAATTATTGTTTGGTTTTATTTTTCTTATTAATATCCCTTCATATCAATCTTCTATAATTAATTATCCTTAATTAATTCCAATGTACAGACATTCATCATCTAATCAGCCGTTATCTGTCGATGGCTGAACATAGGCCTCTCCCATTGACTGCCATAAAGAATGGCCATGAGCAGATGTATAATGTTCTGTACATTGTCTACTTAAAATTTTATTAACATTAAAATTCATTATCATCAAAAACTTCCACTTTTATACAAAACTTTTATACAGATATAGGATGAAAAACAGGTTATAAAATTGTTAAAATAAACTTATGCAATTACAATTACTACAAGTCATGTAAGTACTATAAAAATAAATTATTATAAGTGTTCGCATGTAACAAAAAGAAATATCAAATTTTGCCAAGCTCATTTACATTAACATCATCATATCAAAAAAGACCAATTATATACATTTTTTACTACAACAAATGAGTTATAATGAAGAATGAAAAGAACAATAAATATAATACATTCGCTAAGTAAGAACAGTTGAACATAAACTCATTTATCCGTCGCTTTTTATCACATAGCTTATATATAATAGCACAAATCATTTACTCAAAATCTGTACAAACATAAGAATACTTCCTATGATAATTTCATTGTATATTAATTTTAATATAATTATAATGATTTATAATTTTGAATTTAAATTAATGAATTATAGAGAAAATTATGGATGAAAATCCTAAAAGTTAAAAAAATTATATTACTGCGTTGACCATTTGAGATCATCAGACTGACACCAAAAACAGTGTCAATTTAAAACTTTCTTCTTCAGTTATCACAGTATATTTTAATCTAAGTAGATATTCAGAAATGTATATCTTATTATCATTATCATCATATCAGCCTTTAATAGTCCACTGCTGAACATAGGCCTCTCCCATAGAAGGGGTGACCCATTCTATGCTGGTACCACATGGCATTCAAATATTATATTCACTACAAATATATCATTAACAAATGTTTGTGATGGCTTCAGAAATTATAAGCAGTCTGAAAATTTTATTTGTAACAATATTATTTCAGAAAAGTTCTTTGCACAATATAATTAAATTCAAAATATTTATTAAATCCGATTCGCAATGCTGCAGTTGATATTATTATAATTTTGCTTATTCCATGTATTTAAGGTGTACTGACTAATAATATATACACAATCTTAATAAATCTAATCCATTTGCAAACACAAAACTCATCTATCACTGTTTAAACCTTAACCACAGTATAACCACTCAACTAAAAATTATTTTTAGTTTATAAATGGCACCATAGGCATCACTCAAATACCCTGTTAAGTTTATGTCTGTGTATTCCCTTCTGGAGACCACTGTGGTCAAATTCCAATGAATTCATTACAATGTGCCAACTGACATCACTTCATCCTTACCTACCATCTCTCACTGGTGCCTAATCAGTATATACCAATAACATAGATGGGGTTATCATTCTATTTTTGTCATGTAAAAAATCCATAATCTACAGGAATGACAATCCATGAGTGGTAGTATGGTTGTTATAGGATATTCTATGATTTCCATGATGCTTATCATATCTATAGACTCATGTAATTTACAACAGAAAGGAAGTTGTTTTCTTAGTTGAATAAAAAAATTATACTCAACCTAGTCGTCACCAACCAAGCAAAACTTGTATAGATAATAGACAGTTAATATCTGCATTATTGTATATTAAAAAAAACACAAACCAATACAAACAGGCCTACTTTCTATGTTTGCATTATATGGGAATCAAAACAACAACAATTGGTAGACCAGGTGATGCATTATATTTAAAAATTAGTTATAAATATAACATTTATGCCATACCTGTTACAAAATTTTTAACAGCTATTTCACATAAAATAGGTATTTGCACAGGAAACATACTTTACTAAAACAAAACATTTAAATTTAATAATTGTAAAATTTGTCTATTATATATAATGATCATCATCATCATCATTCTTCCCTCATCCCAATTATGAGGAGCGTTCTCGTTGTAATAATATATATAATTTATCAATAGATTCATGTTAATCAAATAAAAATATGCGAATAGGAGATAAAAATGGAATGCATTGTCTGAAATAGAAATTACAAAAGACCTTCGTCATAATTACCAATAATAATAAATAAATAAATAATGTATTTTGAGGCCTGTTGTAGCACGTATATATAATCATTGACTCACCTCGGATGCTACGTGATGCCATCCACTAGCAGAATCACTCGAAAAAGAACCACTTGTAATCAGTAGACCACTGTCTTCACTTAAAGGAGGTGCTTCAGAATTTGTTGAAAAAGAAGGCGGTGACTCCATCACCGCAAAGATCGAGAAATACAAATTAATCTAATTGAAACATAAAATTAACGGTTATTTCATAATATTTTGTAAAATTAAGAAAACAGTAATTAACTAATACAATATTTATACTCGTCTGTATAAATCTAACTAAAGTGACTCAGTGAAATTAGGTACTTACCTACTTAACTAAATCTAAAAGTAATTTTGACAACAAAATGACCAATCATAAACCCGCTTTCTTGTAACACGATTAAATGATTGGTTAAAATTCGTCAACCCCACAGACATATTGTGGTTATAAGGTACTATCTCAGGTAAATCACTACACTATTCTTATTCTATGGCAATAAGAAATAGAAATCTAAGAACAAAATACAAATACCTAAATATTTTTGCTGTATAGCGATTGAATAATTATGATAATTACTGTAAAACAGATGAATAAGTACAATTTGTGACTTCATTTTAATATATTTTTATAAGCCTTTTACACAGTGACATAAGGGTAACATTTGATGATTCAGCATACAATTAGGGATCATCTTTAAAATTTGTTTATTTATTTTTAATTAAATAGCCTAGATTTTTTCAAAACTTCCAAAATATGTTTATTTTTTATATACCCGGAGGCTGGTGTGACTAGAAATAAAAAAGGGGTTAATAGAAAATTAGCCAGGACTGTCACTTTGTAAAATAAAGCAAAATATGTAAGTACAATAAGTTGTTTATATCATTATAAACAAGCTTGATGTTTCTTTTTATCGAAGTAACAGTGTATAAAATAAAAAGTTCTAGACAAAAACATTTTATCAGTTTTAATAACATTACTATATAGTAACATTTTTTTAAGTTAGGACAAGCTGTTTTAATAACCCTAAATATCTTTTCACCATAAGCATTTTTATTCACCTCTTAGGTAGAAGCAACATGTGTTTAGATTTTATCCAATAAATTTAGAATGCTGTCTGCCTCGAGTTACAATTCGAGTTGACTAGATACAATACTTATTTGCGACGGAGACTAAGCAGTAAATCGGACACTAGGTAATAATATCTCTCAGATAAATAAGCATGATATACTAAGTGTTATAAACTCTTTGCTACTGTTTTCTAAATGTATGTTTTTATGACGTGCATTGTCATTGTATTATTATAGCTTTACCTATCTAATGTCTAATGGTTTTAATTTATAAAATGTGGCGACGAGAGTAGAAAAAAAAATGGACGCAGAACAATTTCAACAGTTCCTGCAGTTGCAGCGCATGCAACATGAACAATTAACACAAGTAATCCAATTACTTGCAACATCAACACAACATGAACGTGGCCCCACGGAGACGCCCGTGGTGGCCGGAAATAATCAGGATACACCCTGCACACCCGTTTCTAGCACATCAGGTATCAACAAACTATCCATAATGAACAATTTTAAATATGAAAAATTTAACCCTACGACAACAGTAGAAAATTGTTTTTACTACTTTGAAATCAAGTGTTAAATTTTGGATAATAATATAAACATAGACATTAAAAAATATTTGCTCGTCAATTGTTTATCACCAGAAGTTTTTCATGAGATTAAAATTGAACTTATACCTAACTTTGAATCGAGTACTTATGATACTATAAAATCAAAATTAATGGATCTGTACCGCACAAAGAAAACCAGGTATCGTGCACTTTCTGAATTCTGGGATTGTATTAGACAGGATGGAGAAACAATGGAGCACTACGCGAATAGATTAAAAGAATTGAGTAAAGACTGTGGCTATAATGACATGCTATTAGAACGACAACTTCGAGATCGCTTTGCAACGGGTCTTAACCACACGCAACTTTTAATTGACCTTAAACAAAAATGGCCGGACCTAGTAGAAGAAAGTCATCATGACGGCACTACTGAGGTAACCTTTTCCCAAATTTTTGCAGTTGCTCAATCACGTGAGCTGGCTGAAGGTGATAAAAATACAGCAAACATAGCAAGTGGTGTTTATAAGGTTAAACAAAATAAATCTGATCTCCGTAATCAGAAACAAAGACGTATAACCCCTGATTAATGCCGCCGTTGTAGAAAACGAAGGAAGCATGGATTAGATTTATGTCCAGCTAAAGACAATGTTTGCAAAGAATGCAATAATAAAGGACATTTTGATAACTGTTGTTTGAAAACTGGCAGAGCATATTTATCTTTCGAAAACAAACAAATACGTAAAGGTAGTAAAAAATTACATAAAGTTAATAGATACTACTCTTCCGGAAGCAGCGATTATACGGCGAGGAGCTCAAGCCCTAGTGAAGACGATACTGAAGATGAATTAACTGCTGTTCACAAGATCAACAATAGAAATAGCAAGGACAGCAAGAAAATTGACGTCATTATCAATGGCAAACCATGTACTATGGATTGGGACTCAGGATCTCTTTATTCTATCATAGACGTCCGTTTTTGAAAACAAATAGGAGCTCCCCAGTTGACTGACGCACCACATCTACGTGCTTATGGAAATTTAAAACTTAAGTCATTAGGTTTGACGGATGTGACGGTACAAGTACAAGATCAAGAACGAATTGTACCAGTAATAGTTATGAAAAATGCAGATCCAATGCTATTTGGTCTACAATGGAGCCAAGTATTCGATATGGAATTTCCTAAACCAGTCTACACTATTCGTACTTTACAACAACCTACAACGCTTAAGCAGGTTTTAAATACATACAAATCTCTATTTGATGATCAATTGGGTAAAGTCAAGAACTATAAAGTGAATATTCATATTAAACCTGGTACACAACCTAAACACCTTCCTCCTAGACCTGTAAAGTTCTCTTTGAAAAAGAATATCGAAATAGAATTGAAGCGGCTCGTGGATACTGGTATAGTAACTGAAGTAGATCCTAATATAACTCCTGTTGAATGGGCAACGCCTACTGTCAATGTGATTAAGACTAATGGCCAAGTGAGAATTTGTGGAGACTATCGCAGCACTTTAAACCCTGTCCTCATTACGCATGGACATCCAGTTCCTTTGTTTGATCAATTACGTCAAAAATTAGCAAAGGGAGAGAAATTTACCAAAATTGATTTGAAAGACGCCTACTTACAGTTTCCAATTGCTGCTGACTCAAATAAATATCTTACCATTACTACACATAAAGGTTATTTTCAATATAATAGAATGTCTTTTGGAATCTCCACAGCCCCATCTATTTTCCAACATTTTCTAGACAAACTGCTTGAAGATATTCCAAATGTCGCAGTATATTTTGATGATATTGCTATAACTGGTAAAAATGACTTAGATCATCTTAGAACTCTATCCATAGTATTTCTACTATAAAAATAATGATATTGTGCAGCCAATTTCTTTTGCTTCGCGGAAATTAAAACCAGCAGAGGCTAAATATTCCGTTATCGATCGTGAGGCGCTTGCCATTTTCTTCGGAATTAAGAAATTTGACCAATATTTACGTGGTGGAAAATTTACCTTGGTGACTAATCACAAGCCTTTATTAGGGACTCGACGCAATCTGCCTAAGTTATGTAACAACCGTCTAGTACGTTGGGCCCTTCTGATTGGCAGCTATAACTACGATGTTGTATTTACAAAAGGCAAACTTAATGTCATGGCTGACTATCTCTCACGAATGCCCAACCCTCACGAAAAACTCTCATTATCAGAAGTTATTATTCATAAAATAGATACACGTCACCAAATGGGTAAGCTACGTGACCTACTTATATCTGAAGACATTCTGAGAAACGAAGTTAAGAAAGATCCTATTCTTAAAAAAATCAATGAATTTTTAAAAACTGGTTGGCGCCTAGATAATTTGTCAGAAAAATTGAGACCATATTTACGAAAACATTGTGAGTTATCATTAGTTAGTTGTTTCCATGGAAGAGGGTTCACGTAGATTTTGCGGGTCCTTTTGAAAGCAAATTTTGGTTAGTACTCTGTGACGCACTATCTAAACGGATTGAAATTAAACCAATGCCTACGATTATTACAACTAAGCTATGCAATGAACTAGATACAATTTTCACTTCTTTTGATCTCCCACAAATTATAGTCTCGGAAAATAGCCCTCAATGTACATCTCAACAATTTCAGGAATACTGCAAATGCAACGGTATTAGACACGTTAGGTCATCGACTTATCATACTAGGACGAATGGTTTAGCAGAAAAACTAGTTCGAACTTTTAAAACCAGAATGTCACCTAGTACATATGATGAATTAAGTTCAAAAAAACGTTTGAAAAACTTTCTATTTACCTATCGAATTACGCTTAGAACTGATACCAGTAAATCACCAGTAGAAATTCTATTAGGGCGGCAACTACGTTGTCTCTTACACAACATTAAACCTAATCCTAGAAGATCCCTTCGCTACAGATTTTCAAGCTAACATAGGATACGACAAGGAAATGTTTTATAATCCGGGAGAGAATGTCTATGTACGTTTTCGAGATGATAAGTATTAAAAACCTGCCACAGTAGCCCGACGCACATATCGTTATTCTTACTTAATTAATACCCCTGTTGGAATGAAAAAGTTCCATGCTGATCATATAAGGAAGCGAATAATTGAAGAATATTTATCTCTACCTAATAATACTCAAGATAGCCAAGGCATGCAACAAAATATACCAACATGTTCAAAAGAAAGAAATTTACCCTTAGTTTCAACACAGGCTGTTGTTCAAGATCAATTTGAAATAATACCCATGAGGTGCAACGACGAAACGCCGAAGTACTCAACTAAGATGTCATTTAAACCTAACGTTCTTGAAGGGAGTATCTTACCACCTACAGTCGAAGGGTTAACACGTAGTAGTGGTACATCCGCAATTGACGTGAGACGTAGTAGGCGAGTTGTCAAACCACACCAACGTCTTATCACAGAGATGTCCTAGTCTTGTTAGGGGTGGACGAATATTATAAACTCTTTGCTAATGTTTTCTAAATGCATGTTTTTTATGACGTGCATTGTCATTGTATTATTAAAGCTTTACCTATCTAATGTCTAATGGTTTTAAATTATAAAACTTAGTTTATGTAGTACTTGCTTATCAAGTATGAAAAAAGTTGTTAGAATCATTTAACTCAAGAAAAATTTCAATTGTGAGAAAGAAACTATCGACATGCTACCTATGAAGATGATATAAAACCCAGTCTGGTGAGAATTGAACTCACACGACGAGGGTTTCATATTATTATTATATATATATTCGATAAACACGGTAACATGCAACAATGAGTCATAGTGAATTATCTACAGATACAATAATGAAACAGCGTGAGGGATTAAAAGGCACGCCAAAACTCACAGATCTACATAAACACTCACACTAATACAAGTGCAAAGACGAAGTTAGGGGATATGATTACACTAAAAAACAAATTTTTATACAGCGTTTTTAACTTAATCTCGATGAAATATGACAACGTTGCAAATAAAAAATGCTCTGCTTACGAACTAAAATGTGAATCATGTAATAATTAATAAATCTATTACTGAAAATTTGAAACTTAAAAAAATTTCATAGCAGAATATAGGTATAGTTTTATAAATAATAGATTTATATGCAACATATACCAAAATAACCGTCCCCCCTCCCCCCTTAGGTCCCCTCTTACACCCTTAGGGTAAAATATGATGACGACAGATCTCTTCTGTCACCGTACGAAGTTGTGGATACGTAAGGGAAATGGTGATAATTGATTGTAATATATTAAATGGTAACTTTAATTAAAGAAATAAATCTTTTTGTTTAAAAAAGTATATAGTATCGTTAACGTTCTGCATTTAATGTCAATATGATGATTAAATGATTTAGTATTATTAATACTGTAAAACGGGATTTTCTGTGCAGGAAAATCTGTGATATTGCGACTTTTTCATGATATTTTTTTAAAGTTCTCTATTAATCTTAAAATTCCTATCATTAATTGGAATTAGTAATTCCTATCAATGATAGGAATTTTAAATTGATTTTTATAGCGATGTTTTTTATCTCTTCCGGATATAAAATATATTTTCCAAAGGACAAGTATCGTTTATGCATGAGTGGGCTGCAGCTACAAATTAAGTGTTGCAGCATTTTTTCTCACTGACAAAATTTGCATTATATCATATCAATATGACGAACTATGTCACAATTCGATGGTGTATTAGTATAGAGAAAGAGTGAGCAAAAAATTTTATTTATGCTTTCAACTTATGCTTTGTCTACTTCATTCTAAGAACAAGGAATCTTTAGCTTCATTATAATATGCTTGTGACTGAAATTTACAAAAGGGACAATCCTGGTTAATTTTTCTATTGACCCCACTTTCGGGTTATATAAAAAATAAACACGTTTTGGAATTTTTTTGGAAAACTAAACAATTTAGTTACTAATGCATGCCCAAATTTTAAAGATTACGGTCCTAAATTGTATGTTGAATCATCTAATGTATCTATATGGATAGAATAATATGAAAAATTTAAATGAAATTTCAAATTGTTTGTTCCTATTCACCCAGTTTAACGATAGTTCTCTAGTAATCTGTGGCAATTTGTAGTCTTTGTTTTTATCTTTATCGGTGTCATATCTTAATAATTTGTAATATTTTGTCTCTTTATACGAATTATCACAATAATATTAATACTAAAACTTAAAATATCAAGTGTCCACATAAGAGGAGGCCTATTTAAAAGTAGTTAATATAGTATTAATGTAGTAAGTCCACTATGTGAATAATGTATACTATGTTAATTATTTGTTTTTATTGCAGCTCGTATTATAAATTAAAACATGTTATTCAACTTTTGATGAAACAAACTCGCGCAATGTTATAAAAATGATTTAATAAAATTCTGCATTTGTAATAAATTTATTGATAGAAATGGCTGACGCACAAATTGCTAATATAGTTAATGAAATTTTGGTAAGTCTTAAATATTTAATAAGAATATTTCATTGATTAATTTGCGGTAGAGTGTATAAAGCATAGCGATTAATTATTTTTAGAGGGTGGAAGCTGTAGAAGAGGCGTTTAGTTGCTTTCTAGTACACAAACCTGATCAAGAAAATGAAAGGTTATCTATGTATCAAAAAAAGCTCTGTGCAGTGATGACCACATTAAGCGCAGACTTGCAAGAGTCTGCTATACGCCAATACCTGACTCTTACTGCTGTCTTAACAAATAGATATAAAATGAAGCAACTGTTAACTCTTTTGGAAAATTTAGTTAACACTAACATTTTACAGGCAAGGTTAGTGCAATATAGATTTTGTCAGTTTAAATGTTATATTTTATAATACTCACTGTTTTCCACTGCTGTGTCCCTGAGATTTAGAATATAAAATATCCTATCTATGTGTTAAGTTGGGATGTAAGCTATGCATGTACCATATTTCATTCGTATCCATTTAGCCATTTAAGCATAATTGAGTAACCAACATATAAATATCTAAACATCTTTAGTAACTTATATCATATCAAGAGCTGTTTTGCCATGTATTTATGCTATTTATATAATTAAAAAAATAATTTATATTCAAGCGATTATTTTTGAATGATATGAGAGAAATTTATTCCTCATATTTTTTAGATAAGTGGAAAGATTGAAAAAAATTAGGGTTCTATATTAATGTAGCAATATGTGAAACTTTGTCGATGCTGGTAGTTTTTACGGTAATTTGACCTTATCAAACATGCATGGTGTTAGTCGATCATGCTAATTTTTAAGGACCAGTTAATTTTAGACATAGTACATTTAAATAAATATACTTAATTTTAACAGAGATTTAAAAGAGTAACTGTTGAGTTTCATGTGGGCTCTTCTCAACAGATAGCAACTTTCTGAACCCTGCATTCATAAAAAAAATATTTAAAAGTCTATTTTTTTTTTATACGACTTAAAATGGCAAAGAAGCTGACGTCCCATCTGATGGAAAGTGGTAACCGTCGCTTATAGACATGAGCAGTACCATGGACATAGCAGAGTAAACTGTTTCATCCATGATACCCCCCATACCTTGCCATTCCTGAGGACTCAGGTGTTATTCCTCTGTACCCTGTAAATTGAGAATAAAGATGATTTGAATTTGAATTAATTTGTTATTTGGATGCTTGAGAGCAAATGCAAAAATATTTTTACACAAAAAGAATACATATTCATGCATTTTGTGTAGGGATATTTTATAAATTATTAGTCCTATTTGTTGGAGAAAGCTAAATAAAATAATATACAACAGGAAAAGACATCAGTCTTCAAGTTTTATTAGAAGACTGGCAAACTTCAATAGACTGTCAATAATAAAAAAGAATTAATATTTTTACCATTGAGGTTATCTACTCTAACACTATTAAAATAATTTTATATATAAATGTAGAGAATTTAATGACCTAGACTAATTTAATTACCCAGAGGATGTCACTGTGTGTACATGGAAGATATATAAGAAAAACTATTATATTTATGAAAGTAATAGAGCCCAAAACAATGATTTTTAGAATTTTTGTCTGATTGTTTTTTTTTATTGTATGTATTTGGCTATTTACTTTTTAATCATAGACATCTCTTTCTGTCAGTAATATATTCAAAATTTTTTTACAAAAAAAAATTCAATTTAGTTATTTATTTATTTCTGCACCTTAATTAAGAAAAAAAACATGTTTATAAATTTTTGTTTAATATTGTGTACATTTTGCTATATAATGGAAACTATGATCATTTTTATGTTATTTATTTATTTCCAGGATGCTTTGTGATTGTATATTAACAAGCGAAAAACTTGTTTATCAGTATGCAGATTATTGGATAGAATGTTTCAATTTGATCAGAAGGATTATTGGAGGTGTTGATTACAAAGGAGTTAGAGAAATAATGAAAGTTAGTATAGTACATGTAATGATCTTTTGTCTGTCTGTTTATTTCTTTTTCTCTATGAAATTTATTTTTTAGGGCTGCAGAGAAAAAGCTCATACATTACCAGTGAGACTTAATTCGAGTACTATGCCTCAACTGAAGGCCTTAGACAATGTTATTGAATATATATTTGATCGCAATGCTTCATTGTTACCAGCATACTTTATAGTAACTGAGATTCAAAAAGATTATCCAGATAATAATCACTGGCCTCATTGGCAATTAGCTAAATTATTGACTAGTTTTGTCGAGAGTTTCAAACCTTGTGCTCAAATGGTTTCTATTATTGGACATTCACATATGCTGCCTGTCGTTGAGTTTTCTGGATATGCTGATCATCTTATCAACCCTTGGCGATTAGATCCTACAACTTTAAAATTCTCTCTTAAGGGAAATTTACCATACGATGATGAGCTTCTGAAGCCTCAAATAGCACTACTAAGACATGTTTTGCAGCAGCCTTATTCTAGAGATATGATGTGCTCAATGTTAGGTCTACAAAAACAACATAAGCAGCGTTGCATTGCCTTAGAAGATCAACTAGTTGAGCTGATGATACTTCCTATGGAGAGAAGTGAACAAGAAAATGAGGAAGATGAGATGTCTTCAACACATTGGTGTTGGTTGCATTTATCATCACAAGTTATTTACTTAATTTTAATTGGTTTTGCCTCTTTTCCTAACATAGTTATGGGCCTCCATAATAAATTAATTGGTCATGATATGAAGAAAGGGCGAGACCACCTAATGTGGGTTCTGCTACAGTATATATCAGGAAGTATACAAAGAAATCCGTTGTCAAATTTTTTGCCAATTATAAAATTACACGAAGTTTTATATCCTGAAAAAGAGCCCTTACCAGTGCCCGACTATGCGAAAGCTCATTGCACGCACCAAATGGCTGTTGTGTGTATTTGGATGCATTTGTTAAAGAAAGCTGAAACAGAACACAAAACTATGACCATGCCACAAAACTTGAAAGTTCAATATGAGTAAGTTATTATATTTAAATTTATTTTATACTACTCTTTTAGGTAGTCATTACATTCTTCGAAACGAAATCGATATCATTAACTGAAAAATTATGAAATTTAGGTATTGGATAAGTTGAAATATATATATATATATATATATATATATATATATATATATATTACAGATTGCTGATGTAATTCATTCACTCTTTGATACAAAAGAAATATGCAGTCATAACTAAGAATGTAGATTAATATTTCATAAAAATGAATTCATAGAATATCAAATATTTTTATTTTTTTGTAAAGGTTTCTTCAACATCTCATGACTTCAAATAGTACTCCAACATTAATGGGATCCGATTATCGCATAGCTTTGTTATGCAATGCGTATTCTACAAATCAAGAATACTATGCAAGACCAATGGGAATCATAATTGAAACTCTTATTGGCACTCAAAAAGCCTTACCAAATGGCAATCCAGCAACTCCTCTGCCCACGGTGCCTCTGTCAATGTGTATCTTGGATAGTCTGACATTACACTGCAAAATGTCGCTTATTCATTCAATTGTAGCACATGTTGCAAAACTTGCTCAGAACAAAACCAATATGCCAGGAAGTACAATGATGGCACCAGCACTGGTTGAAACATACAGTCGACTACTGGTGTATACTGAAATAGAATCTTTGGGTATAAAAGGTTTTATAAGTGAGTAAACATACTTTTTAATATTTAAATTAATTACATTTAGAAAGTTAATTTCGTTTAAAAAAGTAATTCTGCTATTTTGTATTATTTTTTTATGTTTCGTTCTTTTACAGATCAATTCTTACCGACAGTATTCAAATCGCATGCATGGGGAATACTGCACAACCTTTTGGATATGTTTTCTTACCGCATACATCATATACAACCTCACTACAGGGTAACTCTGTTATCTAATATACATTCATTGGCGGCATACCCACAAGCGAATCAGACACAGTTGCAACTGTGGTAAGTTGCATTACGACATTAGAGTATTATGTACATTAGGTATGTCAGTATATAGACATTATTAATTAGCAATTTGAGATATTAAAGGTTACATTTGCAACAGTGGTAACGATGGTTTACAAAATACAATATAAAAATAATAGAAAAGAAAATCAGTTTAGTCAAATCCAATTTAATATTTGTTTCAGTTTTGAAAGTACAGCACTTCGTTTGATAACGAGTTTGGGTAGCTCAGGAGTTCAGTTACAAATGTCCCGCGTTGTTTCGGAACCCAAATCTCTCGTTTCTTCAGAGAGCGAGGAGCTCAATCGCGTTTTAGTGCTTACGCTTGCGCGCGGCATCGCTATGACGGGAGCAGGTATATTTTTTAATAGATTTTAATAAGACTGTTCGTGTTTACATTCATAATATATTGTGATGCAGGTAATTGTGCATATGGGATGTACGGTTTAATCAAAGAACACTATTCAGAGAAGTTATTTCTATACGAGGTCTGTCCGGAAAGTTCGTATAAAAGTGTTCTGGAATGCGAGAAAGAGGAGTGGGGAGGCCAGGTAAGCGCAGGACCCCTTCCTTATGTCCCTAACAATGCTTCAGTTCTGGTCTGACCGCCGTGCGGTGCGAACTGGCTTGTCACGCCATCTGTGAAGTTACCTCTTAACGAAACCCCGTCGGCATGGAGCCCGCTTCCGTTGAAGAGCAGCGCGTCGTAATCAAGTTTCTCTCGAAACTCGGCAAGAATGGCCGTGAAATTTTTGCCGATCTCAGAACAGTTTATGGGGATGATGCTGTGAAGGAACCAACCGTCCACAAGTGGCTAAAAAGATTCAGAGAGGGCCGAGAAAGCGTTCAAGATGACCCACGTTCAGGACGTCCTTCCACTTCACATTCCGACGAAAACGTGGAAAGAATTCGAACTTGTGTTAATGGGGACCGTCGTTTAACGGTCAGACAGGTGGCTGAAGAGCTTAATTTGGGCAAAACCGTGGTCCACGAAATTCTAAGAAACGAACTTCAAATGAAAAAAATTTGCGCCAAGATCGTTCCGTGAGTTTTTGAGTAAAAATTCCATTACGGTGACCGAACACCCCCCTATTCGCCGGATTTGGCCCCGTGTGACTTCTTCTTGTTCCCAAAAACCAAATTGGTACTTCGGGGGCGGCATTTGGGGGACATAAATGAGATAAAAAAAGCTACGACGGGGCAGCTGAGAAACCTACAACCAGAGGACTTTCAAGGAGCCTTCTCACAGTGGAAACGGCGTTGGCACAAGTGCATTATGTCACAGGGGGAGTACTTTGAAGGGGATAAAATTGATTTACCTGAATAATTGTAAAATAAAATTTTTAAAAAACTTTTATACGTACTTTCCGGACAAACCTCGTATAGTTCCAATTTATGTGTTTATGAAATATATCTTTACTTAACGTGGTCTATAATTGAATCACAAAATAAATCTGTTAATAACGTTAATTATAATAAAACACTGATATATACAAAAATTTTTGTAAAAAGAGTTGTTTCTATTTGTTTATTCAATAAGGCTATATAAAAATGATTTAGGAATAAGTATTATTCATTTACCTATCCCTTTTCAGATATTTGAAAGAAGTACTTAAAGTGGTACTAGTTTATGAAAATATATTTACTGTTCACATTAATGTTGGAATATTAAAAAGTCTGCAAGATTATTATCATGATGTATTTTTAACTGGTTTTAAAGAGGAAATTTTTAAACTGTATTTTTTTTATTTCGTTTGTTTATGCATCAACTGCGAACCGATTTTGATAAAACTGTACGTGTAATGGTTTTATTTAGATTTTATTCCGAAAAAGAATTCTTTTTTAAGCCTATATTTATTATGTCTAATGTTGTTTGATGGCAAATATGTAAAATCTGAGTTAATAGGTAGCGACGGGGCCGCTGTGAAGGAGCTGCTCACGACTATTATGACGAATACGCCGCATATGTGGTCACAGCATACCCTGCAGTGTTTCCCGCCAGTGCTTGTGGAGTTTTTCGCTCAGGCCAGTTTCAATCTAGATATAATTATTTATAAAATAATAATTTCTACATTCGTAGTTTCATTATTAATTAATATACAATTATATTTTTTGTAATAGATTTAACAGAATGAAAGCGCATTGTTTACTAGCGTGATGTATGTACAGCTTTGGCCAAAAATATTTGCGATCCTAAAAATCATTAGAAATTTCTTATCTATTGACCTGTACTATTGTCTATTGTCGTATAGTACACGTCTAAAGTTTAAAATGAGCCAATCAAAACAACGCACCGTGTCATAACTATAAACCCAATAGAGGTATTTGCTATTTTCAGGTAAAGCGAATTTTAGGGAAATTTTCAGTTTACTACGATTCATCATAGTGTGAAGAACTGTCGACAAATTATTGTAAATTGGTAGTTGTTTTACGTGAGGCACTTCATAAAAATGCCTTTGCGTTGTGAATTAATGTTTCTTTGCATGATTTTTTTTATTGGTGAAATAAATCAAGGTGATATAAGTCATGTTCAAAATTAAAGAAAAGATGGATAAAAAAAATTACAGCTATGTTTATTATACTGCAATGGACATTAAAAAGGTATCCAGATACGATCAACTTAAAGTGAACTTGTTCTTTTATATAATTTTTGGGCGTTCAATGTTATGATGGAAATTTCTACCATTATGCAAAGAAGGGTTAAGTAACGAGGAACGATTAAAAATCCAGTTGTTGTTTGAAGAAGTTCCTCATAGGACCGTAAAGTATACCTTAAATCGATACAAGATGACTACAAGACACGAAAACTTGGAACGAAGTGAAAGGAAAAGAATTGCATTTGTAAGAAAAGACAGTTAATGCGAACTTCTTTGAAAAATCGTAAGAAAACATTTTCTGAATTGGCAGCTGAACCAAGCGAGATGCCGAGGAAAAAGATTTTTGCTAGAAGAAGGCTCCGGGTTGCTGGGCTTAAGGGTTGCAAGGCAAGGAAGAAGCAGTGGTTGTTTAAGAAGAACAAGAAGTTACGTTTGCAGTGGTATTTAGAACATCAACTTTACAACGAAGGAGATTGGGCGAATATCGTTTTGTCGAATGAATTCAATTTTCAGATATGTCATTTAAACTATTAAATATTAATTAAAGACGTTTAAGATATATTGAAGTTAATAGTTCAATAACAGATGTATTTTTAAAAATCTTATTATTTTATTAAGTTTCAGGTATTTGGTACTGCAGGTATCACCTAGGTGAGACGCAGAGTTGGTGAAGAATTCATACCAGAGTGTGTGGTGCCGACTATTATTATTATATAACAGACCTATGGTCTGTTTGGAAATTGGAAAAATGATCTAAATGAAGGTCGGATGTACTAGACAAAATATTTCGAGGTACTCGAAACAGCGTTGCAACCCTAATTGCATCTAGATGGCGTCCGTTTCTAACAGGACAATACCTCATGCCATAAGTCCAAAACCACTATGAGTTGGTTTAAGAAAAATAGTATAGAGCTTCTAATTTGACCCCCTCAGTCAGTAGATCTTAGTCCTTTCGAACATTTATTTATGGTCAATTATAAAGCGCAAGATTTAAAAAAAAAATTATCACAGGAGTGAAATGCCTATGACTCCAGAAGAATGTAAAAATTTTATTTTCTCTTTACCCAAATGTATAAATGCTGTAATTAATGCAAAGGATTTCAATATGAAATAGTAATGCAATTTTCGCATTAAAGGTATTTTAAGTACATGGTTTTTTTCCCGTCCAAATCTTAAGTATTGTATTATTTTTTTTAATTGTAATTTTCTAAGGTGGCATATACTTTTGGCCAATGCATTATGTATGAAATAAAAATAAACTCGAGCTCTGCTTTTCTAAACAGTCATCATATTATTGTCAAAAATAAATTATTTCTTTTTAAATTGAATAAACAGAACCCGGCTCCTAAAGAAAACAAACAAGTTTTAAAAAAGTCTGTAGAAGAGGAATATCGCAAGTGGACGTCAATGGCAAATGATAATGACATCATATCGCATTTCTCGGTACCAGGAACGCCGCTGTTCTTATGTCTTCTTTGGAAGATGATTTTCGAAACTAACAGAATAAATCCTATTGCTTTCAAGTAAGTAATTTATAAATTCTCGCATAATTCGAAAATAAAGAAATGTTTTAATAGAAATTGCGATTTAATGGGGTCAATTCAGAGGTAGCATTTTTTAAATCAATAAATTATATATGTTATGTCTACTAATACCTTTCCTATGCTTTAAGGATCCTAGAACGTATTGGTGCTCGTGCATTATCTGCGCACTTGCGGAAATTTTGCGATTACCTTGTATTCGAAGTGACCAACCCTGCGGGCGGACATATCACCAAATGTGTAGAAGCCATAAATGATATTATATGGAAATATAATATAGTTACCATCGACAGGCTTGTTCTATGTTTGGTAAGATTTCTGCCTCAAGAATATAATTATATTATTATATTATATATCGTAGTAATAGATATGAACAACACTATTGATATCACAGAATACAGTTCCGTCCAGGCTTAGGTCACCTTTTATGTATTCTCATATTTTTTTTAATGGAATGAAAACCGTATACATGCTCTGCCTACGCTATCCGTATAATTTGACAGGGCACTATTAATGATTATAGTTGAAGATGTAGTTAGGTCAATTCATCATGAATTAATCACACGGAGGTCAATCGGGCCCCATTAGTAAAATTTCTTCTACTTTTATAATTTTTTATGGATATTAATGGAATATTTGGAGGATTTTTAATTATTCAAAGTACTCCATAATAAAAGTGTTGAATTTTAAGGTACTCCGTCCTAATCCTGATGCAAACGAGAGCCAAGTGTGTCTGTACATTATTCAGCTGTTGCTATTAAAAGGGGGTGAACTTCGAAACAGGGTGCAAGACTTTGTAAAAGAGAACTCCCCCGAGCACTGGAAACAAAATAATTGGTAAATATATATTTCTTTTTTGGTTCGTCTCATATTTCTCTTATCTTACTAATATTATAAATGTGATAGTGAATTTGTTATCTCTCACTGCTTTAATGCTCTGCCAATCGTCACAAAATTTGGCATACATATATTATGTGGGATGGACGATAACATAGACTACTTTTTATTTTAGTTAATGAAAATTAGTCCAAATTCAAGTACATCAGTATGTAAGTGTAATTATATAACAAACATGCAAATATCATTACATTTATTTTTGGCTTTTATAATGTTTATATTTTATACAATTGTTAAATAGAAGTATAACTATTAATCTGTAATATCTTTTGCATGTTTATAGGTATGAAAAGCATTTAGCGTTCCATAGAAAATACCCAGAGAAATTTGCACCTGAAGAAGCAAGTAGCGCTTATGGCGGCCCAATTCCGGTGTATTTGAGTAACGTTTGTCTCAGGTTCATCCCTGTATTTGATATAGTCGTTCATAGATATTTGGAGATACCGCAAGTCAGCAAAAATTTGGAGCATCTTTTGGAGCATCTGGGCCACTTATACAAATTCCATGGTAATGAGAATTTCTTTTCAGTTTTTATTTTTTATAATTAAGTTTAATAACACTATAAAAACGATATTGTAAATGTGTATGGATAATGAGTAATGTTATGAATCTGTGATAAATACAAAATATACATCATTAAAAACGATTTTTGTAAGCAGAATCTACTTTGATTTCATCGATTTTGATATATTCTGTGTATTTGTTTATGTTAATAAAATATTTACAGATCGTCCAGTCACGTTTTTATATAATACACTCCACTATTACGAGTCCAAACTTCGTGACAAGCCATTATTAAAGAGAAAACTCGTGAATGCGGTACTCGGTTCACTAAAAGATGTGCGTCCACCTGGTTGGGCCACCACTGAAGCTTTTCAGGCTTATCTTGGAAACACAGACACAGATGCTACAGGATGGACTCCAGACCTCAACTATTACTTGAGTTTGGTTAACAGAATGGTGGACAGTATCCTTTTGAAATAAAATATATGTTATAGCTTATATAAAGAGATTCACAAAGATTAAGGAAGGATATAAAATTTGTTCTATATGGTGGATGTCTAATAAAACCGTAACTGTTTTTTGATATCATCACGATTTTTCACGGTCATCACACAAAATTTTATAATTGAGTAGAAAATCCTTAACAGGGTGCCTTTTAAATTCCTTAAAATTTTATCTTAAGGTTGCAGATATTTAAGAAATTATTTTTCAAAAGTCTCAGGAGAACGAAAAAAGAAACAAATTACGATTTGTTTGTTTTTTTTTTTTTTTGGAATTTTTTATTGTATTATATTATTTTGTATTATTTCTTTTGGTAATTTGTTGCACCACGGACAATGAGTAATTGTTTATAAAAATAAACATTCTTTGAGGAGTTGATTTCCTAAAGTAGTAAAAAAATAAAAAAAATAATAAAAATTACCTCTGCTTGTATTCCGTCTATAGCACAAATGTAGGCTTCTATTATGAAGATAATAATATAATAAAATATAATTAAAGATATTCTTCTAATATTATTAATGAGGATATTCTATTATGATAATTTTACACATAAAATATTTTATGTTTAGGAATTATGTTGTTCAGTTACTCTCTAATCTAGTACGTTGAGTTTCTTCTACTTGTAAAAACTACTTGCATTCTTTATTCTAAATTCCAAGAATTTATGCTATGAAAATTTTGCTGTTTGATTAATTTAAGTTCCAAGTATTATGCATTTCCTAAACTGTTTATTAGCTATGACTGGCAACTCGCACTTCCCAAACACTGACTGGCGCTTCAACGAATATCCAAATCCTTCTGCACATTCACTTTATGTGACGTGTGTTGAACTCATGTCCTTGCCTCTGGCTCCTAACTTTGTGGGGAACAGCCTCCTAGACGTGGCTACAAAAGGATTTGTAGTAATCCCTGCTACGAAAATTCAATTATGGATCAATGCTATAGGATTAATAATGGCTGCTCTTCCGGACCCATATTGGAATGTTTTACATGACCGTATTTTGGAATTGATAACGAATAATGAAATGATAGAGTGGCCATACCCGCACACTCCTTTCCAGCTTTTTAATTTGACGACAACAAATGAGGCTATGTTAGAGAATAAGTATAGCTTAACATTGGCGTTGGCTCATGCAGTGTGGTATCATGCAGGAGCGGGGCAAATCATGCAAGTTCCACAGTAAGTTTCCAATGTTATGTATATTGTATTGGGATTCCAACGTAATGATTTCTTGTAGTGAGTATATGTGGAAAGTTTTTAAATTTTTATTGACATGTTACATACATAGTCTTGCTTTCAAGCCAAATTCTTAATTTGAAAGAAAGTGACTAAAACCTTATAATAAAATTATTAGATATTTAAAGTTTTTAAAAATAGCATGCATTTAATTAATGTATTTCTTCATCTCTTTATTACGCACGGATAGATAGATAAATTAGTATTTTGAATTAGTACTTGGAGCGATACTGTATAACAATAATATTAAGCTACACGGTCTTTTTTGTAGGTATTGATGAATACTATAAACATTGTGATGAACTGTGATGACTTGAACAGATTAGGTTCTATAATTACAATACTTTATCTTTGCAGATTTGTGAAGGAGAAATTGTCGTCGGAGATAAGGACTGAGGTTCAATTACTGTTCCTATGTCATTTAGTAGGCCCCTTCCTACAACGGTTTAATTCTGATCTGTCACGAGCTGTAATGGATATTACGATTACTCTGTACGAGTTGCTCGCACATATCGATAAGGCGCAGCCCCATCTTCAATATATCGATCCGATTTGTGATCTACTGTATCCTTTTCAAAAATCAAACTAAAAAATCGACTTAAGTAACAGGATTTAAATAATTTTGGTTTGTGATACCTGTTCTAATACATTTTAGAAATTATTTCGAAAAAAATAATGGTGGAGAATATTAATTGGCGTAAAAATATTATTTTAATTATGTTCTGTAATTTATTTTGTAACGTTCAGTTGGCAATCTAGTATAAGGATCATATTTGGTGAACGGTTCCATAGATTGTAAATACATGAAATACTAGGAGAATTATGTACGTGTTGCCGATCGTGAAGAAACTTTATTACCCCTTTTTGTTCTATTAGATTGATAATCTTCTTAGAAATAATTAAACACTATACAACGATACATAACATTAAAACATTTAAATTTTAATTATATGTATAATATATACTTATAACAGTGTGTAAATTTATTCTATAAAAAAATATACCGAATGTACAAAAGTAAATTCGAGTATTTGAAAACACGTGGTAATTTGAACTTTTTATATTTACTACTTACTTTTTGCGTGCTAGTTGGTACGTGTGTATTTCAGAAGTAAGTAGGACAATCAATGAAATTGACCACTTTTAGATGGCGTATCAAGACAAAATATACACCAGATTTTAACTTAAATCTTTAGGAATACAACTATGAAAACTAATTCAATTTGGCGCAGTAGTATTTGCGTGATACCGGTAGAAACATACAGTCAGACAACATTTCTAAAATTTATTGTTTTGGCTTTAATTACTCCTGTTTAGATCTCTTATTTTTTTTTTAATATCTCCCATATACAAACACTGTCTAGTTATAATTTTAACTGATTTCAAAAAGAGGCAGGTTCTCAATTTGGTTGTATTTTTTTATGTTTGTTACCTCATAACTCCATCAAATGTAAACCAATTTAAAAACATATTTCTTTATCTGAAAGAATATACGGGCAAATTAGTGAAATAGAAATTTTACTAAAATCCTTCAGTAGTTTAGTTTTAAAATCAAAATAACATGTTTATTAAAAGTTTATTTCAAATTAAAGAATACACTTTATCATACAAATTTCCACCATTATTTCTACATCCGTAAATTTATAAAAATCTAGAAAAGATTTAATAAGAAATTACTTATATATAAAAAGAATCTGCTGTGTAAATTTGCTATTTTTAGCGTTAGTTTTAACTGTGATGAGTTAGTCAATCATGACATTGCTCTTTACTTTTTTTTATGTTACTATGGTGGCAAACAAACATACCGCCTGTCTGATTATATTCCGGATTACTTTATCTCTTTTTTAACACATTTACGGGTAGAATTTGAAAAAATGGTAAATTTCAAGTATCTACTAGTTAAAAAAAGTCCATACAAATTTTCACCATTGTATTTATACCCTTAGGAACCGCATCCTTTCTATATTGCTATTATTATGTGAAGGTCATAAAAGGAATCTACTGTCAAAATTTGGCGATATAGATTATTTCATAAATTGATGAGTTAAGATTTCCTTAATTAATATTCAGTTACCACATAAAATATATGTTTGTTGGTGATACCTTGAAGAATGAAGTGGAGAGCGTCATACGAAAGCTGCGTCCGGCTTTACAGATGCGCCTGCGGTTTATCACTCATTTGAATGTGGAGCAAATAAACACAGCCTAGCAGAACGATTACTACAGCTACACGCCTTCTAGCTCCAGTTCTAGCTCAGAATGAATGGCGACAGCTGTAGTGATATACTAAGATTAACATACAATTTAACACTGATTTAGTTTTAAATTGAATGTTGATTAGGGATCAGCAAAATAGTTCTGACTGAAACCTCTTTTGATGTAATACGTGATTATAGGATAACTAATTTTATCTGAAAGATTTAAATATTTGATAATTTAGAAGAAGGAGAGACATTGGTACATCGTCTACTGCACAAGGTTCGTCTTATACATTCGTTAATTATTTATGATTTAGTAACATTCTAAGGGATTATCAGGAATATAGGGTTATTTCTTATATATCTGGGATTTGATATAATGCCCTTTCTAAAATAAAGATTTCAGACAGGGACGGAAAATATGAACATATTAAATTATAACTGTTTGTTCATTCATCGATATGTGGCAATTTTTTTATACTTAATAATTCTTTATAGTTAAATACTTAATAATTATTAAGTTACTTTTGTTATTTATATTGCATTGCGTTAGTAGTTTATAATTTCGAGTTTAATAATATTTTTGTTACAAAACCTACAATTATTTATATTTATTTCATATTTATTATGAATCTGTAATAATAAATATTTGAAGCATCACATATAATAAAAACACAAATATACCGAATCATAATTATGATATTGCAATAAATAATCACAATAAAGTAAAAATAGACCCTTAAATAAGAAAAGAAGAACAAAGTTAAACCTTTAAATGTGATAATTATACAAAAGATAGAAAAAATAGAAAGAAAAGGAAAATAGTGGAAAAACTTTTTCCGTCTATTATTTAGGATACCTGAAGGTGGAAGGAAGAAAATTTAAATACGCATACAAAAATAGAATACTGATACTAAATTTTTATTTAAAATACATTAACTTTTAATAAAATTAATTCGCATTATATCTAAAATACGAAACGCTCCGCCTGCATGTAACATCATATGTTGTATTACTAGATTTGTAGAATTTATGAATTGAATATTTTATTAGCTATACTAAACTCTCTCTTTATCGACTAATTACTTCATTATAACCAGTGATCATTTCATAACACCAGTTCAGAACAGTGAACAAGTAACGTAGGCGTACGGTAATTAGAATTATTATGCGTGAAGTAAATCTATCTTACAATATTACATTTTATTAGTTGTAGGTACCAATATTTTACCATAAACCATCGTGATATTTTATAATAATATTTGTTTAATAATAAGTTATTATATATGTGTGTTTAAAATTCCCGTTACCCACATTCATATATGTAGTTAAAAATGAACATAAATTTATAAGTAATTATTTTGATTATTATTCATTATAAATTTTTGTTAAATGATCCCCGTATTCAATAATAGCTATGTGTACGTTTTGCAATCTAAAATATAGTTGAAGGAACCACGTATTTGTAAAACATACGTTTATGTTTACTTCACCAAATAAATTTAGCTATGAGCAACGTGTCAAAAATCAAAACAATAATTTTAGAAAGAACAAGTAGTTTGAAATAAACATAATATTAAGCATGTTTGTTAAAGTTTCAATAACAATATTGCTACCATTAGAACAAAATGTAGTGACTTAATACAGTTCAAATAGTGAATTAGTTATATACATAAAATGTGTTTTTGCTTAATATTAGGTAAGAATACAAGAAGGTACTTATTGTGATATATTCAGGGTCTGATCTTGCTATTGTTTCACTTTAGGCAAACGTTATATTTGCCGCCTTTGACAATGATACTTTATAAGTATTGTACTATATTGATGACAAAAAGTGCCGCGGTCGCCCTAAATCTCAATTTAGTCGCTCCTCATTTCTTTCGTTCTAGACATTTGACCTCCACTCCAACAATAGATTGGACTCTGGGTATTTTACACATTTTGTACATTATGTTTGTATAAATTAGTTTCCATCACAATTTACGTAGACATTCTAAATCTAAGACAATCTAAATATTAATAATTTGCATCACAATTTAGATATTCATACTATGACTCACAATTTAGATATTAGTAATTTGCATCACATTCTAGATATTAATAATATGCATCACAATATATATATATATATATATATATATATATATATATATATATATATATATATATATATATATATATATATATAAGCATGTATCACAATCTAGATATTAATAATACGCATCACAATCTAGATCAGGGGTTCCCAAACTTATTTTGTGTATTGCCTACTTTTAGAATAAATTATTTTTTAGTGTCTCCATTTTTTTACCTACTTAAAAACCTCTATTACATAAAGATCAACAAATCACCCCCAAGCCTCTACACAACGCCCCCATTTTATTTCTGGGTCTCTTACCGCACCCCTTTAGGCCTGCAGCGTCCACTTTGGGAAAGACTGGTCTAGATACTAATAATATGCATCACAATATATGTATTTAAACATACATCACAACCGAGACATTAATAATTATGCATATAAGTAGAAAGGTAACGAGGAAATATTCTGTATATATGTTAGTTTTAGTATCGTACTTTTATAATATGTACTGGCCATGGCTGTTTACTATTTTATTTCATATTTTCTTTAATATCTTAAGTTTGTTGTCGGTTTTATATTTTTTATATTATTTAATTATACATATTTAAATAAATAATAATTTTGTCAACATTATCATCACATACTGCTGTGTTCTTTAGTATATTTAGTTAAGATGGTATATTATTATGTATTAAGTTACCAAAACAGATAATTATAATTGTGAGGTTGGTATAATTAAATGTATATCTTGGTATAATATGCTATCAATTTTAATGTATGTCTTTATGCCTACCGTTTGTATTAATTTGTGATAATACATTCATTGAATTTGTGTTCGTATTGATACTGTCTGTGTGTGTTATCACATATTCATATAAACTTTTTTAGCCAATTATACACAAGCAAGTAACAAAAAAGACATCCAAACAGGTTTAAACACTTATAGAAAATTAATAGGTTTAAATTGAATATGGTTTCTGATGTTAGAAGTCTATAGTATTTATTTTTCGAACAGATTATGTAATAACTAATTTTATTTATTTATAAATTTTAATTTATTACGGGATACAACAACTAAGAAAGTGTGGATTTATATCATTGACGTATTTAAGTCCGCTGCCACTGCCCCTAAATACGCCTATGATATATATAGGTATATAACTATAAAATAGGTATACTAATCAAAAAGTAGATTATATTTATGTATAAGAAATTGGAGGAAGCGACAATATAAGAATAGAAGCAATGGTGACTTAGTAATTTCATGTTTTATCCGATTACTTCAAATAGTTGTGGTCATTGACATTTAAAACACACACACACACACACACACACACAGATACTTTGAATACTTGTGTTTTTATTTTATTTATGGAAATATATTTAATGCACACGAACATCACTAAGGACATCACATAATAATATACTATACCGTCCGTGGTATCCCTCATGCTTTGTTAGAGAGGTGTAGTACCTCGAGTGATTACCAGAAGTGATTACTAGAAGCAATTAAAAGACTAATAACATAATTATGTATGAAACAATTAAACTTATAACAATGTTTTATATTTATATAAGAAAAATGGAAAAATATTAAGTGTTTACTAATTTTATATTTTCAACAAAATGCCGATACCCAATTATTCATATAATTTTAATTAAAATACTATTATGATTAGAAACAATAAACCCGCTACAACTTTGTCTTAAGTACATGTATTTTATATTGCTAAGTAATTTGTAATAATAATTTTAATTTCATAATAATTTTGAAATAATTTATAGATTTAATAAATATTTTGCATTTATTGATTTATTGCTTTTATTGATCTATCGATAGTAGCAGAAAATAATATTACTAACTGTTATCCAGCGACTTCGTTCGCATTGGCGGTTATTTGTACACTACTAAACATAGGCCTCTCCCATAACCTGACACAAAGAAATAGTCCTGAGCCGCCTGCATTCCTATCCATTGACATCCTAGAATGCATTCGAGGTCGTCACTCCATCTAGTTGGGTTGACCTATACGACATTTACCCGTACGGAGTCGCCACTCTAGAATTAAGTCTCTCTCATCGATTATCGGTTCTTCGAGGCTATGTGACCAGCATTGTATATGCATTATATGTTGCCAGGTTCAATCGTTTTTGGTGGTAGACAAAACTCCGTCGGAGATTCATAGCACCATCGTTACCATGACAGGTACCTTGGTCCCAGAACCCCGCTTGCGCTATCGGTATACGCTGTCGGGGCACCAGTGAGAGATATCTTCTCTGGGAGACGTTTTTCTTGGCCGAGCCTTTCTAAGAATATTTTCTAGTTCTTCGACTTATTAACGAACTACCCACCGATGCACGAGATTATTAATTACTAATAACATCAATAGTAAATTAAAAAAATATTCTTGCATGATGTTAATACAATTTAAATAGTCTTAATGTATTTAGCATTAATATAAACTTACATGGTTCCGGAATGCTAATATAATATACTTTCTGTAATTCTGAATTGTTGAAATAATAAATAAAAAAATATATTCATATTTTTTTTTAAGAATTCGCGCCTATTTTCGTATTGCAAGTATGCGAAAAAATTTTCCCACAGTGAATTAAAATTCTCGAAATGAGGTGGATTTTTTTTTAATAGTTATTGAATAATTTTTCAATTATTATTTTATTTTTTATACAATTTTTTTACAAACACAGGCAGCACACGAGCATGCGGCTCACCTGATGGTAAGTGACTACTGCGCCGCCCATAATCACCCACAACACCAAAGAAATTGCAGGGTTGCTGTCGGCCTTTTAAAAAGGAATATACTATTTTATTGAATGTTATGATGTCGTATCAGTCCGAAATACTGCTACTGAAAGTTGATTCTAAAGAGTGGTTGTACGTGAAAGAAAGTGCCTTGAAAAACGCACAGTGGAAGACCGTACATATATATACATATCTATACTGGACAGCAAATAAACCGGGCCACCCGCTATTTTTGAACTGTAATCCGATTTTATAGGGAACACTGAATACCTATCATAAACTTGTTTTTCAATTTTTTTCATTGTTTCCGGCTTCAATTTGTTTTTTACTTGGTGATAACAAACGATTTGCGCGACTGGAAATGACCCATCTTTGTAAAATTCTTAATAAACACTTAATATTGATAAATCATAATGTGTTTCCATTAATTATAATCGTCATGAAACGCACTTTCTATAGGTATGACTTTGACAGTTGTAAGTATTATACTTTTTGAGAAAATCGGACTCGAGTTCAAAAGCGGGTGGCCCGGTTTATTCCTGTCCAGTGTATATAAATAATATAAATATATTATTTATATAAATATGTACATAGAGTATTATGCATATTTTATTATTTGACCGAATGCATTCAAAATCGATAACGAATAATCTTTCAAATATAGATCTGGTGTCAGAATTAGTCAAAACGGCTACCATTTTTATTTTCATTGTTATTTGACTGATTGCTTTTAAAATCGATATCTGAGAATCCATGTGTACCCCAAATATGGATCTTTTGTTACAATTAATAAAAATGACCGCCTTTTTTATTTATTTATTTGACCAATTGCTATCAAAATCTATATCTGAGGTTTCGTATACATTTTAAATATAGATCTGGTTAGAATTAATTAGAATGGTTGTAATTTTTTTTCAGTGATAAAAGTATTTATTTGGACAAGGAGTAATAAAATAGCGTTAAGAAATTAAACTTAAGGTAAAATACTATTCATAATTTTTTATATTTGGTCAACTGATTTACAATTAATTAACTCATATTTTCCGTTCTTATAAATAAGTATTTCCAAAAGTCCATATTAAATTAAAATGACTTCTACTACGATTAATTCTGACACCACTATATTTTTTAGGTCTACAAAAATCTTAGAATCTTAGAATATTTGTATTCAAATAATTCTGTTAAATAAGAAATTTTAAAATGATCCTCATTTTTAGCGACGTGTTAATTATTAAAGTTTATTTGGATCTACAAATACTGAAAGTTTTACCTTTCACTTCAAAATTTTTTCAGTTATAGTAATTACAATAAATAAAAAATGGCGCCCATTTTGATTAATTTAACATAGGGTCTGTATTTGAAATATATAAGGATCATTCGATATCAATTTTACAACAATCAGTGAAATAAAAATGGCGGCCTTTTTTATTAATTCCGACTCTAGAGCCATATTAAAAGTATACATGGATGTTCACAAATTTCGATTATGAAAGCTATCGGTCAAATAACAAAGTTTTTTTGGATAAAATATTGTACATCTTATATAAAATCTCTGTTCATATAATTTAAGTAATTGTGTCATAACAATGTATTTTCATTTAGAAAAACATTAAATAGTCTGCATAATACTCAATACTAATTCTATGCTCATATTATATTTATATTATGTAAGAAAATAACATACATATACAAATGATAATTAAAAAGGATTCAATTCTTTAAAAAAATACCATCTCATTTCAAAAATTTTATTTCAATCCTGGAGATTTTTTCCCGATACTTGCAACATTAAAAATTGGCGCCAATTCTTAAAAATAATATGAATATTTATAATTGTATATGCTTTTAAATTAAAAATACTTACCGGTTATAAGTAATTCCTTAGTTTTATTTTTTGTCTTATAATTTTTGCACCTATTTAAGATCATTTTGTTTATTTAATAATTAAGTATAGAAATTCCAAGATACGTTTTGTCCGTGAGTACATAGAACACTAATAAAAGAAAAACGAATCAGTAAATTTGACAATGAGGTGACAAAAAGTTTACCCGTTTTTAAGACTCGATGCTCTACTCATATAATTTAGTCCCCGTACTAAGGCCCATCATCATATAATTTTAAAAATTGGCGCCTTTTGCATATAAATAATAATATTTTGCGTAAAATCTTTCTCTGTAGATGTTAATGTCGTTTTATGTAAGAATATAGATATTTAAAATAAGGTCATTAATAAATTCTGTAATAAATGTAATAAATTTAAGTATTGGTATGTAATAAATTGAAGGAAATGTATTTGATTCAACACAGCCGCCATCTTGTTGCGCGGCGTGGATTTGAAAGCGTTGCCTGGCAACCAGTTACTCAGTTGACTGTAGCTTTGCGGATACGGTACAGCGCGGCGGTAGCGGCAGTCGGGCAGTTTATTACGTTGTTGACGCACTTGGGTTTGGCGGTGAACTAGATTTCTCAACGCCTAACCGGTCGTCTACTGTGTCCTGTGCGTGTTATAATAAATATTTAACAACAAGAACTGTGTAGCAATTTCATCATGGCCACAGAAGTAACGAACAACGTTCCCGAAAACACAGAAAAAGAAAAGGAGCTTAAGGAGGACGCACCGGTGGATAATGGAAAAGATGAGGCGCCGGCATCTGCTGAGAAGGCCGAAGAGAAAACGGAAGAAAAGAAAGTTGAGCCAGCTCAGCAGAAATTAACTGTCCACAAAATTAATTTTGAGAAAGACATCGTTTATTTGTACCAGTTCTCGAGAACTCCTTTGTTGCCGTCGATATCCCCTTACTGCTTGAAAGTTGAAACATGGCTCCGTCTCGCCGGGATCAAGTATGAGGTAAGTGCTAGTTCTATACGTAATACATTATTTTATATAACTTAACATTAAAAATGTGCTAGCTTGCGTTTATATTCCAAATTTAATTACATATATTTTTTATTACCTACCCTACTGTTCTTTTTTGAAATATTTTCCTTTGCTGTGCTTTATTTTTAATTTTTTATTACTTATGTTATTTTGATGTAACTCTTTACTCTAAGTTAAAAGGTAAAAATAAATAAATAATGACAATATATTAGCTCTATTATCGGTAAGGCCTTAAAGGCGATACTTTGGAACAATTATTAGCTTGTGCGAATTTGCGAACTGCGAATAATATAAAAATACCTTAATATTTTTTTATTAATATACTAGCTTTTTTGCTCACTACATCGTGCGCGTGGATATCAAAAGTAGGAGTGAAATATACCATTTGTACATGGCGCATGAAAGTAAAATATACCAGTTTTTAAGTTAGGTATACCTTCAAAGACACAATAGTGAAAACCGCGTCCAGTTTTTGCGTTACGCAGAACAGACATACAGACAGACAGTTAGACAAAATTTCTAAAAAAAATCCTCTTGGTTTCTATTCCACTTATTGTACAGCCCTCATAGGTTTTTTCATAGGTTTAATTTCTTTTTTTTTTAATATGTTCCATGTATTGACATTATTCAGTTACAATTTTATTATGTTAGTAAGATGAATTGTAAAATTGTTATTTTACAGACTTACAATTTATATATTTTAATAGGTACTTAATTAATGTCTAATACTCTCTTCTATATTTTGTACTTAATTATTGTATAAATAAATACAGCTATTCTCTTTAATATTTACTTCCTAATTCATAAAAATATCAAACCTCTCATAAACCTATTTTATCTGTTGAACTGTTTTGTCTCTTTTTTGTTAGTTTAATTTCCCAATTTGAAAGAAAGTGACAAAACTGTGAAATATAAGGTTTTAGTTATTATGAATAAGGGGTTACAGACTTATGGTCTGGTGACTGATTATTGCAAATTGTATTTTTATCTTGATTATAAAACAATTGGTGTAATTTCAACTGTTTCTTTTTTGCCTTACTTTTCTTTCATTCTAAACTAAACTTGTTCACAATTAATACATTACCTATATAAATAGAGTATACTTATAGAAATATGTATGCCTTATTTGCAATTATTTTCTACTAATAGTTGACACATACTCATTTATTTATAGTATTTATTTTCCTCCAACAAATGTAAACATATGTCAGTAACAAAGAGGAAATGCCTCTATCTGGAAGGCAACTTTGTACAACACAAAATTATAGATTTTTTTTATTAAAATGTCATATAATGTCAAATATATTTCCTTCAGGTATAAAGTTAGCGTAATTGTAATTAAATAACCCATCAGCAAGTCCTTGTATCTTAAGTGGAAAAATATGTTTGTTATATTTTAATAATAATAATTGAATGTTTTACTCCTCTAGGTATTTACAATTATTTTCTAGTGTGGGCCTAGATCTTTAAATAAGGTGCATTATTTTAGACACAACTTCACTGAACGTCCAATTGCATCCAAAAGTGGATACAGATCAAAAGCACATTTCACATGGCCCCCTCTAAATATGCCTTTAAGAGATGAGACATAAAGAAATTATAAAATATTGATAGATTATTATTTTTTGTGATTAAAATGTTTAATAACAGAATGGTATAATTATTTAATATACAAGTCAATCATTGTGTAAAATATATGGTTACCTTAATATACATTATTATAGGTCCAGACCTGAACTTACATAAATTCATCAACTAAGTGAATGTTGGACTTACATATACACAAATTATTTGTATGACTATTCTACTGTCAAATACTCTGATGGGTTATTTGATGAAAAATTATAATTGTTGCCTATAGAAATTAACAACTCTGTAAAAATTACAGAATAATTATACTGTGCCACTTTGATAATATTTTGTTTTATACTCTAAACACAATAGTGTACGCATTGCTGTTAAATGGCAAAAATGTTTCATAGATACTTTGTATACTAAAACTACCTACTGGCCACACAAAACTATTACACTATTGGCACCACTCATGTGCGGGTGGCGCCCTCTGGTTTGCGGGTGGCGCCCTCTGGTGTCGAGTTACTAGGCCGCCTTCATTGTACTATGCGAGGCGACGTGGCTTATTTGGACGTCGGTAAAATACCAGTACATTGTTATTGTTATTTTATAGTATGTTATTGTTTGAGTGTGTGAAAATAGCACTCTGTTGTAATAACTTTGGTAAGCACTGGTAAGTGTGAGTAAAATTAAATATCCAAGAGAGGCGATAATTTCACCTCATGCCACCTTGGGTTTAAATGTATATGTCATACATAAAATGGCTACAGAGACAACAATCAACTAATATTTCTGACTGTCCCATTCGTATTTTCAGCCGTCCATCATAATATTAATTTTATATACCTGAATTTTTCCTTATAATGTATGACCAATATGCTATAATATTATATATTGAAACTATAATGAGCAGTATGGTTTATTTTGCCTACCCAGTAAAGAACTCGATATATTTATATGGCAACCAAAAGTGAAAATTTTTTTTATTAATAAGTAAACAGAAATTCCTGGAGTGAAATGGTTTTGATTGCTCCATTAGAGTTGAATTTTTCTCCTTTTAAACATGCTATACATATATCTAGTTACATTCAATTAGAAACGGTACTTTATAGGCGAACACATAAAATATACTGTTCGTCAGCTTCATTTTCCTAATTTGAGATTGTTGTTAATTCTGATGTGGTTTGAGTTGAAATCGTGTTTCTAGTCGTCAACAATGTTTCGTTATTGAGGCCATTACTATGTTGCTAGGACGGAAAAGGTTTATGCCTAAAACATTGTGTTCTCATTTAAAATAATACCACAGTATAAATATGTATACATACGTACATATTTATTCTCTTTTAGTACCGTATTTATTTACTAAAACAGTATATAAATCAAAATTCTAAATTTGATCAGACTCTAGTTATTTTTATTGAGAATCCAAAGAAGTTGATTGCCATATTGATTTTGTTTAATAATTTAATTAATTTTATATTTAATAATCTATGAAACTTTTATAATTAATGATTTATGAAACAAAATTATTTTATGGTAACTAACAATAGCTGTAATTTAATAATATTTTAGATCAATATTACAAGGATTATGGAGCTAAAATTTAATATCTGTCAGGATTAGGGTATTTTAAATCAGATTTTAATTCATTACTTCGGTCTCGGATGAATTGCTATCTGACGTTGGATTTAAATTAATATGGCAGCTTTTACTATGGTCACAACAAGAAAACAAGTAATCTGAACAGCAATTTCCTGTTTATTACAAGTATTATTTTGTTTGACGATAACGTCAATTCGCAAATGACAATATTTATATACATTGGTACCTATCAACATCAATCCTTTTTGGGGTTCAGTACTAAAAAGGTACCCGACGTTGTCCGTCAATTCATCCGTCTGTCACAGCGTTATATCTCAAGCAATTACTAATGCTATGGATTTGAAATTTGGAATAATTTTAAATATCATGGACCCGCATTTATTGCAATGGAAATAATTGAAAAAAGGGGCTTTGTTAGGGGTCTCTGTGAAATGGCCTTATTTATAGATTGTATAACTGATTTTTATTTATTTTTATGCTGTGTTTAGTTTTGACCTTTTATGGAAATTGTAAGAGCATCCCCCTCTCCCGTTTCGGAAGAGTGTGAAGCAAATAATTACCGTAAAAATAACACTAGCTTTTGAAAAAATCTTATTCTTAGTTATGCAGTCTAGTTAGTACAAATTACGTACGGAACACTCAGTGTGCGTTCAACTTGTACCTAAACGGATTTATTTATACTAACAGGAATATGAAAACAAACAAAAAGCTGACTGGTATTTATAACTGCAACGCTAAAAGTACAATACCTAGTAATGTGTTTCTATTGCTGAAGACATCGGTATATGCATAAATTTAAGATAGGTATGAAAGTTTGGTATACACAGTATGCACGGCGTCAGTTTACCATTCAAACTAAACAACACTTAACTTCAAGCCAAATATGAGTATTATCTGTTTTTTATACTTGACTTATTTAGTAAACTCTTTTTTTTTAAGTGATAATTAAAAATAAGATTAAAAAAAAAATAGACGACAAGCTGACCAGATACAGGCGTTGTCCTGTTCAAATTTATACACATACTAGCAATCCGACCTAATTTTGCACAGCAAGATACAATTTTCGAAATTAATATATAGTCTATGGTTGTTACTTCTTGATAATGTAACTTTCTATAGGTGAAAGAATTTTAGTAGGTAATTAATTATATTTTAATATTAGTTCATACTAACCGATTTTGTTAAAATTTTGGATACATCTTTAGTTCTGGTAACAACGCAATATGCTATAATCTTAGATTATATAGATAGAGTGTCTCCATACACAAATACTTAGAGAAAAGCGGGTCAACGTTTTCATACAATTTTGTGTAATAAATAGTTACGAGTGAGATTCCTTTATGACTTCAATATTTATTTACACTTATAAATTCTGCACCTTTTTGATGCATAAAATCTCATTTTACTTATTAAATAATTAAATATAGATACATCAAGATATATTGTGTGCGTAGAACATTAATAAAAAAAAGAGTCAGCTAATTGTAATAAAGTTGACCCGTTTTTAAGACTATGCTCTATTTATATAATCTAAGGCGATAACATTTAATATTATCAAAATGGCCGCCGTTACAAGCAGTGGATGGTGTATATTTTGTCATTCCGGTTACTGTAAGTATTAAGTTTGAAGACTAGTTAACGGTTAACGGTAAAATAAATGACATCATTTTACAATGGCCCATTTTGAAATTTCGAATATCCCTTTTGGACTACCTGGCAGAGAACAAAAAAGCGATCCAGGAATGTGTAGGCTATTAATATCTCAAACAGTTTCTTTCCAAATCTATAGCATTAGT